CCAAGGAGGATTATTACCAGGTGCTGGGGGTGCCCCGCACCGCCACGCAGAAGGAGATCAAGAAGGCCTATTACCAGGTGCGGCGGGGCCCCAGCGCTGCCCCTCCGCCGGGGCACGGAACGAATCCAGCCCCGTGCTCGGAACCGCTGCAGACAACGGGAGGAGGCACTGGGGAAGCTCAGCACATGGCCTTGGGGATCGCTTCCAAAGCATTGGCTGCCTGTGCTGTCACTGCTTGTCTCCTTCCAGAAGGATCTGGGATTGCTCAGAAGATCAGGAGCAGCTCCTGTAGTTCGTGATTTTGGGTTGATAAATGAAAATGAAGGGTTTTAGTTCCCGGGAATGCATCTAGTGAATGCCAGGCTCTGCCTGGTGTGTTTTATCCTGACATGTGAGATATGCTTAAGTAAATAACTCCTGCCTATCCCTAAGAGTTGGTTTTTGCTTTTTAGTTGGCAAAGAAATACCACCCTGACACAAACAAGGACGACCCCAAAGCGAAGGAGAAGTTCTCTCAGCTGGCAGAAGCCTATGAGGTAATAGCAGGATTTTGTTGTGATGAGAAGAAGGAAAGACTAGAGCATGGATGAGGGCAAACATTTCCTGTAAAAACATGGCTGGTTTTTGATGCACTTCAATCTGGGGCACACCTGTCCCAAGAAATTCCTTGGTCCAAGTATCTGATTAAGCTGCTTTGAGCTTTTTCAGTTTTCCCCTTCCTTAGCAGTGACTGGCATGGATGTCGCTTCCATGGAATTATTGTCAGTTTAAATAATCAAACAAAAAACCTGTCAGCAGGGTTTTCAGGCAGAGGGACTTTCACTGCTTTTGATTCCAGCACTCTTCAGCTGATATAACAATGATCAGCTGTTTAATGTAAGTTATTTAATGTAAGTATAAATGAGCAAGATCTTGTCATTTTTCGGCCGATGAGCCTGGAATCACCAGGGAAGCAGCAGCTTGTCCCTCACTCCCATGGTGCTGAGAGTGGGCTGAGACCTTGATGGAGGGTGTGAGCCCGCAGCCAGGGATTCTCGTGGCTCCTGCAGTGCCCGTTGTTGCCCGCAGGTGCTGAGTGACGAGGTGAAGAGGAAGCAGTACGATGCCTACGGCACCGCGAGCTTCGAGGCCGGCGCCGCCGGGGCCGGGGCCGGTGCGGGGCGGCGGTACTGGAGCAGCGGCCCCTCCATCGACCCCGAGGAGCTCTTCAGGAAGATCTTCGGGGAGTTCTCAGGATCCCCTTTCGGCGATTTTCAGACTGTTTTTGACCAGCCACAGGAGGTAAGAGGTGCCTTTATTTAGGAATGAGAAACTCAAAGTAGTGTCTCTCCGCAGCTTCTGTCACAGAGTACTGTGGGAGCTTCAGCAAGGAGTTGTTTCTGGGGATGTCAGTGTGTGACATGGCAAGAGCAGAGTCTCATAGTTTAGCTAAGCTGTGCAGGAACACACCCCACAGCTCCAGACAGAATATTTTTTCTGGGCTTTATCAGAATATTTTTTCAGAGCTACTTCTCTGGTGTTTGCTGACACCACCCAGTACTGCCAAGCAGTTCCATTTCTGCAGAGGCACAGTGTCTGCTGCAGCTTATTTACCTATGCCTGCTTTGATCTGTAATGCTAAAACCCACAAAATACCTTGTAACTATAAACCAAGCCTTCCAGCAATATGTTTGGCTGCTTAATTGGCCTAATTTTGCAACTTAATTAGCTTCATGCTGCAGTGAGGCACACCATAAAATCTGTCTTGTTCTTTGTGTTGCAGCTAAATGCTCCTTTAAGTGTTGATGGTTCATGTGTTGTCTTCAGAAATGTTTGGTTCTCCTGGTTTTACTAAAAATGACATTTTTCATATAAGGAGAACTTTCTATTTTGATCAGTCATCTTTATTGAGAATTTCTGTTTTAAGCATTTAAATGTTTGGTATTTAGCCTGAATTGTTCTCAGTCTCCTTAAGATCCTGTCACACCTCAGTCATGGCTCTATATCCATGTTTCCTGTGCAGTACATCATGGATTTGACATTCACCCAAGCTGCAAAAGGTGTCAACAAGGAGATTGTGGTGAACATCCAGGACTCCTGTGTGCGCTGTGATGGCAAAGGACACGAACCTGGCACCAAAGCTCAGCGCTGTCACTACTGCAATGGCACGGGCATGGTGAGTGCTGAGCAGGACACCAGCTCTGTGCTTTCCCTCCTTGGGGAGAGTCACTTCATTCCACGGGGAAAAATTCTCACCACACTCATCAGCTTATCTCAGGCAAAGCTGAGTTCATGTCAGCTTGATGCTAATAGGCACTAGGAAGATTTTCTTTGTGTTAAAGTGCTGTGCCCAGCTGAAAGCATGAGCCTTCAGGCTGGATCGTCTGCTGCTGCACATCCCACAAACCATATGAATATAATGTAACTCTGAATGTAATTTGTATGTATGTACTCTGAATGTAATGTATATGTGGGAATATAATGTAGCTCTGAAACTCCTCGGGCAACAAATGGGTATCTTTTGATTTGAGGGGGGAGGAAGGTGGTGAAAACCCAAGAGTAGTCATAAAATAAGAAGATGCAGGTAATGATGGAGCTGCAGGCTTTGGGTTTCCCTGCATCTGATTCCTTGTGTGCTTCAGTGCTTCAGTCCAGGGCTTAGTCACCATAAGGTTTCCTTGGACACTGGCAGTAATCCATGTAAATGGATTGTCCTTGGATTCATCAGAACACAGACATTTGTAGCACTGTAAGGAGCTTTGTTCCTCCTGGCACATCAAAGCCTAGACTTTGAGGGTGTTTCTGTGTTTCCCTTGCCCTCACCACCTGACACTTGGAGTAGTGGTGCTGTTCAGTGGAAATCAGCATGTGATGGCGAGTGGATTTCAGAGCCAGTGTCTGAAGGCTATCTGTGTCCTGACAGGCTGTGTGTGTGATCAGAGCTCAGAGGTGCTGTGTGAGAAGCCCCGTGTGAGCACTCCTCATTTCCCAAGGTGTGTTTGCTGTCCCCAGGAGACGATGAACACGGGCCCGTTCGTGATGCGCTCCACGTGCCGGCGCTGCGGCGGCCGCGGCTCCGTCATCACCACGCCCTGCGTCGTGTGCCGGGGCACGGGGCAGACCAAGCAGAAGAAGACAGTGATGGTTCCTGTGCCAGCTGGTCAGTGTTGTACCTGTCTGCTGCTCTCTCTTAAAGAGCTCTAGTTATTTACTGCCACTGCTAGGTGCAAATGGGGGAGCAGGGTAAGAGCTTTTTTAAAGCAAAGCAAGTCAGAGCTTGGCAATGAAACAGGCCAGTGATGAGATGGACCTTCTGGCCATGGATATAGGTGTTTGCTCTGCCCTTCCTCAGCTTTGGTTCTTGCCTGGGTGATCCTAGGCAGGTTTTGAAGAGTGAATCTCCAAAGGTTTTCTTGCCATGGGTGTGCTGATTGCCTTCCTCACCAGAGGGGAGAATTCAGTGGTGGGACTAAGACTTTGCTTCTTTGAGACCACCCTGGGTGAGCAGCCTGTAATTTTCCTGCAGCTTGTGGAGGCTGCAGTGTTCCTTAATCCAATGCATTTCTGTAAAGAATTCTGTAGATATTGAAGTAACAAACGTGTTGGGGGCATAGGGATCACCTCAGAAGTATAAACATGTGCTGACCCCTCCTGCTTTGGGCTGTGGTGGCCAGCTCTTGGGATTGGCATGAGTTGTAGGCATCTATGTCATAACCCAAGGTCACATTCCCTCCTGTTCTCATTGCAGGTGTTGAGGACGGGCAGACAGTTCGGATGCCTGTGGGGAAGAAAGAAATTTTCATTACGTTCAGGGTATGTATCCCAAGCTGGTTTATGATGTAAGTTGGTTGTTCCCTTCTCAACTGCCTGGGAAAGGACGGCAGAATGGGCAGAGGAGGAAGAGCCAGTGATCCTTTGGAACAGCTGAGGTAACACGATCCCTGTGAACTTTGTGAGACTGCAGGAGATCTGCATTGTAGCAAGGAGGGTAACTTTGAATCTGTTAGTGAAGAATCGCTGCTTGTTCCAGGATCAGGCCCTTAGGGTAGTGTGAATCAAAATGCAGAGTAGGCTTTTCATGCCTCCAATTTTTGACTTGGAAATGTGAGGAAGCTGCCTGCTAGCAGGGGTGGCAGAGCTGTGGGAGGTGCTGAGGGAGGCTGCCTGGTGAAGTGTCCTTCTGCAGATCCACCTTCAGGGCTGCTGTGCACCTGTGCTGTTGCTGGATGTCTTCTCCTGCCACGCACATCCCTGTCGAGGAGAAAATTTTTTTCATCACCTCTTTCATGGTACAGGAGGGTTTAATTCTCTTCTAGATTGTGAGGCCACTGGAAAGGTGCCTAATTTCCTTCTCACTTTTGGCTTTCCCCTGTTCAGAGTGCTGACACAGTGACATAGATAAACTAACAGCAGGATTAGGGAGGGAGTTCCTGAGGCAGGAGGCAGGGATCCCTCAATCCTTTGGCTAATTCAGTTATGTTGAGATCTGTGTTTTACTAGAACACCAAATATTAACTCACAGTTCTTAGCCATGCAGTTTGGGATGGTATAGTTTTTCCTGAGACCCTTGGGAGCAGTTTAGCAGGAGAACAAGGTGTGCTGACTGCTCTTTGGGACTTTGCTGCCCTGCAGGTTCAGAAGAGCTCTGTGTTCCGACGAAACGGAGCCGATATCCACTCGGATCTCCCCATCTCCATAGCCCAGGCTGTGCTGGGAGGCACTGCCCGCTGTCAGGGCTTGTATGAGACAATCAACATCACGGTGAGTGCCACTGCTCTGGGCATGGAGCACTGGGGCACAGCAGAGGTGGGCAGAATCTCCCAAGTCTGCCAGTATTCCCTTTCAGACTCCTTCAGGATTGGGCCTTGTGCAGTTTGTGACCTGCCTGGTCAGAGCTTCTTTGCTGTTGCTGTGTAGGGACAGGGAAAGAAAGGGATTGCTGGACAAACCCCACACTACAGGGCTACAGGCTGTGTCAGGTTCTTTACTGATTCCTACAAAAGCTTTTCCATTCTTACTGGCTTAGCTTTGGATGTGTCCCAATGCAAGAGCATATGAGAGCTCTCCCATCCTACTTTAGAGCTTGTTGGAGAAGTTGATAATTTTTATAGCTGTGTAATTATTATCTAATGTTTAATTAGAGTAATAAATGTGACACCTTTGTGTTTATAGATACCCCCTGGTATCCAGCCAGACCAGAGAATTCGAATGAGTGGGAAAGGCATTCCCAAGATCAACAGCTATGGCTACGGAGACCACTACATCCACATAAAGATAAAAGTTCCTCAGTAAGTACAGCTAAAACAAGTTCCTGTGAAACCTTAAGAACTTTTCACAAAAAATGTTGTTTAAAAGTTGTGTAAATTCCATGAGGTGAAATGCAGTGGGTCCTACGTCCCCTCTTCCACTAGAGATTGTTCCTTACAGATGGCTCATTTAAAGAGCACAAGGATTCTGGGTGTATTCATACACAATGTGCTCCAGGCCCTGCCCCCTGTGGGTGCTGCTGGGGGGGTTTGGGAGGCTGTGGGGGCCCAGGCCATCCCTGAGCCCGTGTCCTGGTGCCACAGGAGGCTGACGGATCGCCAGCGAGCCTTAATGATGAGCTACGCCGAGGACGAGACCGACGTGGAGGGCACCGTGAACGGGGTCACCAACACAGCCTCAGGTGAGCAGGGACACTGCTGCCCCTTCCTGGGCAGCTGCTGTGGGAGTGCAGTGTTCCCTGGGCAGCAGGGTGAGCCAGGGGCACCATCAGGCCTGTGGCAGCACAGCCTGGTTAACAGAAGCAGTTCTGCTGTAGCACTCAGCAGGGAGTGCCTCTTCCCAGGAAGCTCTGTTCCAGTACTTACTGGGCAAATGTGTGAACAGAGAGCAGGCACTGAGTACTCCAGGGTGCAGACAAGCTGTGCTGATGAATGCCTCCTGCTCCCCCTGTACCAGGACTTGCCTTGAGGCAGGAAAGCAAATGTGCTTCAGGCCAGTTTCCTGTGTGATCCCAATCCAGTGTGCTTGTGAGCACAGCAGGGCTGCCCCTCCTGGAATGCTCTCAGGGGTTTCTGTTGGGCTGAGCTCTGGGTGTGTGGGGAAACCTGGGCTGGGAGTGTCCACTGGTGGCAGTGGCAGCTCTGATCAGTGGACAGTGTCCAGCACAATGGAGGAGTGAAGGCAGCTGGGAGCTTTGTGGAGCTGCTCTCCAGCTCCAGATGGAAAACTGGGATTCAGCAATTGTGTTCTAAGTTTCAGGGATGAGGTGCTTGGAAGAGTGAGCAGCTAAAGGCACAACACATGGTAACATAGCAAGGAAGGAACTTTGTCTCTCACTACTAGAAAGCAGTTTTTTCTTTGCTTAATTGAAACAATGAACTTCTTAAAGCCTGTTGGATTTTCGTTTTGGTTTGAAACCCAACAGGGCATTTGTGACTAGGCAAAGGTGAGAGCCTTTTGGAGCTGCTGAATGATCCCAGGATCTGCTCTACTGTGAGGAGTATAGGCTTAAGTGCAAGATCTGCCAAATACTTCCCAGTGTTCTGTTTTATGGTAATTATACATACAGAAAATATGTCTTTCCTATATTACAGTCAGCCCTGGGGAAAGGGCAGAGAGCTCTGAGCACTGAATTTCCATTCCAGCTTTTTTAAGGCATTTGTGTGCCACAGAGCAAAAATAACCTCTTCAAACTAATTTTTTAAATAGCAAACCTGCCAGTTTTTACCATGATGAAGCAGCAAGGTGAGTTAAAACAACGCCAGTAGGCTGCAGTGTGGAGTCGGGCTGTGCTGAGGGAGGCGTGTCCTGCCTCGGGATTTCATCCCATTGCATCAGACCGAGCCCGGGGAGGCTGGGGAGCACCAGGCTCCGAGATCTCTGTGCACAAAGAAAGCTCAAGGGGGCGTTTGGGATCTTGTTGTTGATGGTTTTACTGTAGAAAAAAGCAGATTAGCAAACACGTCTCCTTTGTTCTCATTTATAGCCACTTCAGAGGGACAAACAAATTCTCAGGACCTGTTCATACAGGACAATTTTAACATTCCTTATCTAGACAGTCTGAAATACTTGCAGTCTTTTTCGTTCCACATGAGTTAATTTTCTGCTTGATACTGTCTGAGCATTGCTTGCAGTGACTCAAATCAGGCTCCTGGTGTGGTTTTGCACAGCTTTGCAAGGACACAACCTTGAAACAGGCAGAACCTGTTTCAGGGACCACCAGCACAGATCTTTTAACCCTGTGCAGTCCTGGCTGGCTGTGATTGAGTTCACCATTTGTTTTTAGTGGCAGACTCTCAGTTCCAATACTTGTTTCCAAAGCCTGGGGGGTGCCTGACTCAATTGTGCAACACAAGAATTCCCTTGCCAGTTGGAGGGCTGGGGAGAGGGGAAGGGAGCAGCTCAGCACCTGTTTCAAAGTTGTGTTGTTGGGATCCAGGCTCTCCAGTGCTTCCACTGCAAGGGCTCCAGTCCTGTGTCAGGCTGCCAGGTGCAGCCCTGGACAGGAGGGAGCAGCACAAGCAGCTGCTTTCTCCTGGCCATTCCCTGTCCAAAAGAGCCCCCTGGTCCTGCTGGGAGATGTGTCTGACTGCAGCCCTTTGCTGTTTGTGTCCAGGTGGCAGGGCCACGGCTAGCGCTGACGCAGGCGGGGATAGGCCTGAGGCTCAGGAGAACAAGGAGGGATTCCTTTCCAAACTTAAGAAAATGTTTACCTCCTGACACCCCATCCGAGGTAGGAGGTCTCTGTGTTTCACTGTTGTCTTTCCCCCACACTGAGCACTCCTTGGGAGGTGGAAGCACAATAGCACAGCGTTGCTTCTCACTTAGCCTCAGGCCTTTCAGCCCTAGCTGTCCCCTGGGACCTGGAGCAACAAGCCAGGGATTAAAGTGCATTGTTGCTGCAGCAAGGAGCAGTACAGATGCTGGGTGCATGCTTGGGGAGGTGGCTGGCCTCCCCTGCAGCTCTGCTGCTGGAGCTGTGCCCAGTTCCAAGCACTGAGCTTGTTCCCATGAGCTGGTCCCACTGGGACCAGGTTCTGCCACACAAATCTGGGCTGCAGAGGTGGTGCTGGCACACTGGGGCTGGATTCACCCACCCCTGCCAGGGGCTTACAGCACCAGGAGGAGCCAGCCTTTGTCTCAGAGCACAGCAAAGCCCACCATGCAGCACTGCAGTGCAACTCAGGTGCTTTAGCTGGTTCTCACCTCTTATGAGGGAGCACCAAGACTTGGAATCATCTATGGCAGACACAGTCTGAGATTCCAAGGGCTCAGCTTTGCATCTTTGCAGGCTTCAAACTGGCTGTGCTGTAGGGGTGACAGTGTGACAGCAGGTGAGGAGGGGAGGTGCTCCCAGAGTGGGCTGTGTGCTGTGTGCTGATACAGCCAGGAAATTGTAACCTTCCTCTCTCTCCAACTGCAGGAAAGCGTTCTACTGGGAACTAGGAGCCAGCAGCAGCAGGTCATCCGTGCAGTTGGGGGTGAATCTTTGTGGCAGCCAGGCTCTGGAGAACACAGAATGTCAGTCAGCAGCACAGCAAGAATCCCAGCTGGAGAGGCCATGGACCACCGAGGCACCAACACAAACCCCACCCACTGTCCCAATAAATGGCAGTGAAGGAAAAAAACAGCTTAGCAGAAGTGTGGCTCTCTGGAGGCTGCTCCACAACCCTACTGCTGCTGGAAGCTTATTTGGTAAAAGCTAAAGTTGAAGTATTATTTAGAATCCAAACCAGAGGAAATGTGAAATAAATAGTCCAGCACAGAGCAGCAGTTTGCTGTATGGAGGCCAAACCCACCAGCTGCTCACTCAGGTGCCCTTTGGAATGCCAGGTGTGCTTGGTGAACTCTCCAGGAGACTTGGTGGATCAGGAAGGTCTAACCTTGTCTTCATGACAGCCCTGCTGCCCTGCACAGCTCCAAGTGGAATCTCCCTGAGGCTGGGTGTTGTCTGAGCCCAGCTGGCCTGGCTCCCTCACAGCCCTGGGCTTTCTCTATCCTGCTGATTGCCTGCACAGAGCAGTGATGGAATCTGCACTTTGCCTCAAGTTATCCCCCAAATAACAAAGTTACCACACAACTGCTGTTGCTTCTGGACTGGTACAAGTCGATCACTGAGCCCTTGGCCAGTTGGGGACAAAAATCTTTTATTACTTTAGTGCAACACCCGTAGCGTAAAGGATTGGTCAAAGCATCGTTGTTTTACTTGTGTGAGAGTGCAAGTGAGGTGGATCACTCCTTCCACATGGAGCTGAGCTCTTGCAGTGAGTATTCCATGGTTACTGTAGCCTGCTGTGTTTGTGATACTGTGCAGGTACCATCAGCCCACATACTAATCAGTTCAACACCAGTTCAGCAGGGACATGCTGTAGTCTTGCCCTTCTTAATTTGCTGAAATAAAGCACGCGTTGCCTCCTGATTAAACTTCTGTAAAGTGATTCTGTACCCATGTAAATAAGATGGACTTCATAAAGATATTTAACACATGCTATGCCTTGCTGCCTTGTCTACTCCTCCACTCTTCTTGTCTGCTCTGTCACCCCCTTTCCTTCCCCTCATAAAAGGAATGCAGGTCTCTGGGACAAAGAGGGGACAGGGTTGGATGGCTCAAGCAGTGCTAGGGGCTGGGATTGATGTTAAACACAAAGCTGAGCAGTACTTTAGGCATTTGAGGGGGAAGGGGCTTTTCCACTGAACCTTGGACAATCTAGAAAAAGCCGAGTTTTATCTCAGCTCCTTGGGACAGTGATTGAAATTAGCTCCAGGAGCCCCAGGGCCAGGGCTGTGTGATAAGGAATCAGGCTCAGCTTTTGTGTTACAGGAAGTCACTATAGTCCCTCCTTCTGGGCTGACAGTAATCCTCCATCTCTCCAGTGGCTCACCTGCAGGGCCCAAACCAGATCCATGGAGAAATCCCTGTCTGCTGTTTGCTTAGGAGCCTGCAGCAATGGATACCTGCCCCAGAGGCACTGCCTTTGGGTACACACCTTCAGCCTCCCACATGGTGCCATAGGCTCAGAGCTGCCTGGGAAAGGAGGTGATCCTGGGAAAACAAGCCCCCACCACCCTAAAACACCCACAATGACTAAAGCAACACCTCCCTGAGCACAGAGTGCAAAGGCAGCACTTCTGCCACCCCTCTGCCTGTGCTGTGCAGCCCTTCCTCTTGTTCTAGCTGCCTAAATAGCCCCAACCACACTGCAGGACACACACAGGAACCAGCAATGGGCTGAGCTCTGCCCAGATGGGGCAGATCAATCAGCCTCTCCCTGAGGCGCTGCTGGGAAGGCAGCACACCTCACCTCAGCCAGGTCCCCTAGCTGCTGCAGAAAGCAGGGAGGCAGAGGAGGGAGGGGAGGCTCAGAAGGCGTTCTTGTTGTCCCCCACCCACTGCGGGAAGGTTCGGGCCCTGGGGTTCAGCTTCATGGTCAGAGCCACGCTGCGGTCTGGCCTCAGGGTGTAGAAACGGAACATGGCAGCCAGCTCCTTGGCGCCAGGGAAGTCCCGCTTCTCGTACTCCTCAGGGGAGATCTGCCAACAGAATTGGGGGAAAAACTGTCTCAGAGCCTGCTGGGCTTCCCCTCAGCCTCTGAGGGGATGTGATGAGGGTTCTGTCACAGCAGCCTGTCACAGCATTGCCCCTGGTGCGCAGGGCTCTGCAAGGCGCTTTGGGGTTGGGCAAAGGAACAGCCCAGCCAGCCTAGGGCCACCCCCAGCTCTGGCACAGCTGGCATTGGCTGGAGCAGCCATGAGGGAGCCCTTCCTCACACCAGAGCTATGGCTGAGGGGTTCTAGAAACTGGGTGGTCCAGGAAGCAACTCAGGTTGGCACCTGGCACCCCAAAACATTCCTTCCTGCCTGAATCAAAGGGTTTGGTTCACTGCACTTCTGAGAGGGCACAAACTGCAGAGAGCATTGGAGAGGCTTTGTTTCTAATGAAATGCACTTCACCACACCCCTCATCCATTGTATTGGCTGCCCCAGGCACAACTGAACTGCAAACAAAGATTAAAAGTAAGTCACGAAGGGGCAGGGAGTGGTCAGGGTGTTGTTAACAGTGACACAGCACAGAGGCCAGGTGTGGTGTAATGGTGACACAGCAAAGCCCTGGGGGAAGCCCTGCTCAAGGGAAGGGCACCCAGCAGAAAGCTGTTGTGTAAGTGCCCATCCCTGGCTCCCCTGGAGACCTCCCAGCCCAGTTATCCCTCAGAGCCAGGCCCAGACCTGCCCAGGCACATGTGTGTGCTCAGTGACAATGCCAACAGGGCAGTGTCAGTGCTGGGCTGTACCAAAAGGAGCTGTGGGTCCCTCAGGAACATCACCTACACCAAGGGACACTTCCTACCTTGCTGGCTGTCACAGTCTTGCCCGTCTGCTGGGAGAGGATGGCAGCATACTCTGCCTCGGTGAGCTTGCCCGTGCTGAGTCCTATCACCTGGCCAACGTACTCCCCTGGGGACTTCAGCAGGGAAAGCACAATGGGCCCAAGGTCCTCCACAGCCATCCCATCCATGGGGGTGTCCCCCATGGGCAGCTCTGTGGGGAGAAATTGATCCCAGCTGCAGTGCAGCCCAGCTCTGAGCAGGTACAGCAGTTTTCAGTCTCTGGATATGAGGTGAGGGAGGGATGAGAGCATGGCAAGGCAGGAGAGCAGGGCTGAGCTTGACAGCAGAGCAGCACCATGAGTTGCACCACCACCTCCACCATCCCAAATGCAGGTACTTGGGGTGTGTGTTCAGAGCTGCTCTGGGATCTGCAGAACAGCCCTCAGCACCACAAACAGGCCCAGCATCCTGGGGATTTCATGCAGGCCACCAAACAGGTCTGAAGACCATCATGCAGCTTGGTGTGGTCAAGCTGGGAGAGGCCTCTTCACCCTACCAACCCAGAGCCCTGGCAGTCTGTCCCTGGCACAGCCACAGCACAGTGACCCACAGCTTACCCAGCACAAGGGCATCTCCCTGCGGAGCCTTCTGTGGCTTGAAGATGGAGAGGAAGTTCTCAAAGTAGAAGGGCAGGCGGATGATGGTGGTGGGAACCCCGATTTTCTGGAAGTGCTCCTCCACCACGCCTTTGCCATCGAAGTGCAGCACCTCCAGCCGGCCCCCTGTCAGCTGCTGCACGTTCTCCAGCCCGCTGAACACCACGTGCTGCAGGCCCTGGCGCTTGGACAGATCAGCCAGACGCCGTCCCTGGGCCAAGGGGGAACCAGCCATGAACAGAGGAATGGGACACCCCCATCATCCCCACATCCTCCTTCCTTCTGGGGAGGATCCAACTCCCACCAGCCCTCAGCTGAGAGCACAGTGACTTGTCCAGGTGGAGCTGAATTCTCTTCTTACCAATCCCACTTCAGAAAGACCACACACCCTCCAGCTTTGGAGCTTGCTGCTCCACCAAACATGCAAGCACCAGCAAAAAGAACCTGCCTGGCCAACATACCTGCCCTAAAATATCTTATCTTTTGTTTGCTGCCATCCAGGCGTGGCCACTCTGCCTCCTTGCAGTATCTGTACTGGCGTGAGCACCACCCTTGGGATCTCTGATACTGCAGGGTTTTGGCCCCAAAGCTGCAAGCACAGGGAGCTACAGGTCTGCAGGCAGTGATTGTCCCAGCTCTGCCCTGGGAAGGCTCTGAGGAGCCAAGTGTTCCCACTCCTGCTACTCCAGCTCCTGGGAAATGCTCTCCATAACAAATTTATCAACTCCTGAAGGCACCAGACCCTGGAGCCATGCAACTGTGAGGGAACAGAGAATAAGTCCTGGCTTTGCAAGAACTGGGACCTGTTGTTTGGGAGGCCTTGGGGTCTTCTGTACCGGCTACTCAAACCATCACGGCTGCCACGGATGCTCCAAGAGCTGTCTCCACTTTGTCCCCACTGCCAGATCATTCCGCACATGGTCCCAGTTAATGTCAGGACAGGTACCTGCTCGATTTCCTTCTCCTTGCTGCAGTGCTCCCAGAAGTTGGTGACAATAAAGGCTCCGTAGGCACCGGCCAAGGCCCGCTCCAGCGACGCCTCATCGTCCTGATCTGCCTTCACCAGCTCGGCTCCCCTGCGCCTCAGCTCCTCCGCCTCCTTCTTCCTGGGGCTCCGCGTCACGGCGCGCACCTTGAAGCTCCCATCGTCCAGCAGCGCCCGGGCCACGCCGCCGCCCTGGGCCCCTGTGGGAGCAGCCGGTCAGGGCGGGCCCCGGGGCTCCGGGATGCGCTGGGACGGAGCGGCCCGACTGCCACAAGCGCCGAGCGCCGCTCGCTGCCCGCACCGCTCACCCTCCTCACCGCCCCCGGCCGCTCGGGCATCACCGACACCTCCGGCCCTCACCGACGGCCTCAGGGCACAGCCCGGGCCTCTCCCGCGCACTCACCGGTGGCCCCGAACACCACGATCAGCTTCTTCCCGGCCATGCAGCAGCGCGGGCGGTCCCGGGGCTCTGGCAGGGCGAGAAGAAGCGAGGTCGCACCGGTCCCGGGAGGGAGGGAGAGAGGGAAGAGGGCAGGGATCGGGGCGGCTGAAGAGCCATCACCGGTCTCAAAGAGCAGAGAGCGGGAAAGGAGCGAGGCGGCTGAGGAGCCATCGCCGGTCCCGCGGGGCAGCGGGCGCGTCTTCGCTCACACGGCTCCTCACCTCGGCTCCAATCGGCTCTGCCCGGCTCGGTTCGGGTCCAATCGGCTCCTCCCGGCTCCGTTCGGCTCGGTTCGGCTGAGCGGGAGCTGCGTGCGTTCCTCTGTTCGGCGTGACCCGATTGTGTTCGGCTTCACCCGACTGCGCTCGGCCACGCCTGTCTGGGCGGGGCTCAGATGTCAATCACAGTCAGGCCACGCCCGCCAGCCAGGCCACGCCCACCGTCGGCATGAGGCTCCGGTCCCATCCCCAATCTTAATCACATCCCCATCCCCAATCCCATCCCATCCCTTGGCCCAGCCGCCTGCTCCTTGCTCAGGAAACCCGTTTAAAACCCAAAAACCACCGCGTCACCCTCTGGGAGGTGACCGGGAGTTGTGTCCCTTCCTCCTCGGGTCCCCCCCGAGCATCCGAGACTCGTGAGGTTTCCTTGGTGTGGAAGCCAGGCTGTTCCCCAGACTGGTCCTGCTGCTCCCTCTGGAGCTGGGACCGTTTATTGTCCCCAGGCAGGTGACTGTGGGCAGGTGTGAGCGAAGAGCTGTCCCCGAGCACCCTGTGCCAAGCAACCGCTCAAATCAACAAACAGAGTCACCCTGGACCTTTCCTCTCCTCTCCTGCCAGCTCCGGAGGGGCTGCGGGCAAACCCACACTGCCGGGAACTCCGTAGGTTTGGTTTAGTAAATAAATACATTGAGAAATTTGGAGCTGAGTCTGGTAAATGACCCAGAAAATCCGTGAAGCATGTGTAACACACAGTGGCAAAGAGATATTTCAGATGTGTCAACTCAGATCAGTGATGAATTGTGAAAGCAGGAGGAGGTCCAGCCCTGACCGGGGTTTCTGCACAGTCATTTTGGATGT